GAGAGCGCACCTCTTCCGGTCGAAGCTAAGCGGGCCGCGCGAAGCTTGAATTAACCACAGATGGGGGAGGAAAATAACCCCATGGCAAAACAATCGAAACCCAGGGAACCCAGGGCACCCTGGAGGCAAGCTGGGTGTTTCTTGGCATGAGTCTCCACTGTAATGGAGTTGTCCCTTGAGACTTCCTCAAAGTTCGAGCCCACATGTGTAAACCTGTGCAACAGTTACACGGATGAGGGGCGGCCCGTCTTCGAAAGGGGAATGTCGCTGGACACGTCGCCGGACTCTGATGGTAGCTCTGTCACGCACCTGCTTACGCGCCAGAAAGATACAAGACGGATCCTCTTCAAAGCGGGGGCCTCGCCAAAATTGCAAGCCAAACTGCGCCGGTCTTTCGAAGGGGCGCTATTTGCAATGAAGAAACTTGTAGGGACGTATGAATACGAGACTTGGGCCGAGGGGGTGTATTGCAGCATCGCTGCTGCATTTTGGGTTTACTTTGGTTATCCTCTTCCTTCTACACCCCTTCAACTCCTGGTCCTCCTCCTCCTCCTCCTCCTCCTCCTCCTCCTCCTCCTCCTCCTCATCATCATCATCATCATCATCATCATCATCATCATCATCATCATCATCATCATCATCATCATCATCATCATCATCATCATCATCATCATCATCATCATCATCATCATCATCATCATCATCATCATCATCATCATCATCATCATCATCATCATCATACTCATCACAACCAACATCATCAACATCAACATCATCAGCGTGATCATCGTCATCATCACAATCAGGATCATGATAATCATCATCATCATCATCATCATCATCATCATCATCATCATCATCACTATCATCATCAGCAGCAACATCATCATGACACCATTATTATGAGCAGCATCATCAGCTGCATCATCATCAACGTCATCATTTTCATCATCAAAATCATCATCAGCATCATCACTACCGTCATCCTGTTGCTGGCAATGCTGATGGGGTTAATCCGGAGCGATCACGTGAATTAGAGAATCCGAAAGGGGGGTCAGCCACCTTCCGCCACCGCCACCCCACCCAGCGCACAATCATTATGCTGGAAGAACTTTGCATACGGATCCAAGGGAACGAGGAAACCTTTAGCCTCCTCTGGCAACTCAAGACCTGGCAGGCCACACTGTACACCTATAGGGACATCTCCCAAGAAAATCGCAGCAAAAAGTCGGCACAACTGTGACGGGTAATCCTTTAGCAGAGCCTTCTGGTACGTCCCGTCCCCCCCCCTCCCCACGGCAGCAAGATGCCCTCCAGGGTGCTGGCACCTCCCAGCACCCTGCCAACAAGCCAGGAGCTGGGGCAACGAGGGGACGTGAATTCCAAGCAACCGCGTGAGCTTCAAGTGCATGTATCCGAACATGCATTCGGTCCACTCTTACCGAAAATGCAGATGGGAGAAAGGCAATCCAACAGAACTCAGGGAGACGCCAGCTAGAAAGGGACTCAGCACGCCACGCCCCGGTCGAGTGAACACACACTGGGACGACAGCAACCGCACGGAGCAACTCATTACAAACAGCCACCTGCTCTTTCTCCTGAGCCGAGACCCCATTGGTCCCTCAGGGTTCCTGAACCGACCTGATGGACCTCGGCCCTCGGCGCTGACCAGCGGCTCCAGGGGGCGGGTCCAAATCCACGGACTTGGCTCTGGACCAAATCTCGTAAGAGGAAACCCCCATCACCCCCACCACGGCCCCCTGGGCCATCAACCAGCGCCAATATCTGGCTGAACTGGATGTGCGAAGGGCTCCCTTGCCCTGGTCACTAGCCATATCCTGGGATAACACCCATATAGGTTTACACGTCAACTTTGGTTGATTGAGCTCCTCAATCCAATGCTGGAGGCCCTGGGGGTGCCTCCGGCGGCTTCCTCTCCTTTCCTGTCCTTGCTCCTGCTTGCCTCCCCCCCCCCTCTCCCCCTCTGCGGCTCCAGCGTTTCTGGGCCAAGCCGGCCCGCCATGGAGACCCACAGGGATCCATCAAGCATTCTTGAAGCTTCCGCACGCCAGCCTTGCCTACAGCTGTGGATGCCATGACAATGGACATTCTAACAATCCTACCATTGAATTAAAGATGCGTTTACAATGTGTAAATGGGGCGGGGGGGCGGCGTGGCCGCAAAATCGGAGCGGCTGTACGGGGCAGATGGGGTACATATCATGGACGCGCTCCCGACCTCTGGATCCTGCTATGTGTAAACCATGTTCTAAAAATGTGTCAAACATGTTTGTCAAGTCTTCGAAAACATGTCTGAAACATAGTTTAAACATCTGGAGATTATTCGGCAGCACGCTTCCTCTCCATGAATCGACTTCCACAAACCTGCAGGGGCTCGGAGGCGGCGGAGGCCCGCCAGCGCGGCAAAGAAGAGACGAGCCGACCGCCGGCCCGGCAGCAGGCACCGCACGGCTCGCGGCAGAGGGGAGGGCCGTCGTCGTCCGATGCCGCCGTCGCCTCCTCACCTCACTTGGGCCCCTGGGCAGAGGGTTGGGCTTAGGTCGGGCCTGCCCCCCCTACAGGGGGGTTTTGGACGGAAAATGAAAAATGCTCAAGAAATGCTCCAAAGATGCCCAAACATACTCGAACGAGTCTGAAACCGGCGCCTCGCCTGGGGCATCCTCGGAAACGGCTCCGAAACAGAAGGGTGATGAGCACCCAATCAGGCAAACCGCCTGATACACACACACACACACACACACATTGGACGCGAACAGGCCTGTGATACACACCCTGGCGCCCCTCCCTGGGAGTACTAAAACCAGCGCCTCGCCTGAGACAGCCTCGGCAACTGCTCCGAAAGAGAATGATGTTGGGCACCCAATCAGGCAAACCGCCTGAGACATCCCCCCAATCTGGGCACGAACGTGCCTGTGACATACCCCCTGGCGCCCCCCCTGGGAGTACTAAAACCAGCGCCTCGCCTGAGACATCCTCGGCAATTGTTCCGAAAGGGAATAATGTTGGGCACCCAAACAGGCAAGCCGCCTGAGACCTCCCCCCAATCTGGGCGCAAACGGGCCTGTGATATCCCCCCTGGCGCCCCCTCTTGCGAGTACTGAAACCAGCGCCTCGTCTGAGACATCCTCGGAAACTGCTCCAAAGACGGGACGATGTGGGGCACCGAAGCAGGCAAATTATCCCAGTGCGACCCTACCTAGGAGTTGGAGCCTGACAGACGGACAACATGCATGGAACATACGTGCGTACACACACACACACACACATACAGATAAGTACCTATATATATATATATATATATATAGCAGCAGCAGCAGCAATAGTGGATGCTGTGCTGCGCTATGATATGCTATGCTATGCTATGTTATGACATGCTATGCTATGATATGCTATGCTATGCTATGCTATGCTATGCTATGCTATGCTGCGCGATGCTATGCTGGGCTAGGCTAGGCTATGCTATGATATGCTATGATGCGCTATGCTATGCTGCGCTATGTTATGCTATGCTATGCTATGCTGCGCTATGCTGTGTGTTTGCTTTGCCTTCGCTTTTGCCTTCACGTTTGCCTTTGCTTTTGTTTTTGCTTGGCACCTAGGGAGCGCAACTGGGGGAACCGCGCGTTTGCTTTTACCTTTGCTGTTGCTTTTGCTTGGGTCCCAGGGGACTGGGGGAACCGCCCGGGGCGGTTTGCACTGCCCGGCCCCTTTAAGCTAACCGAGTAAGAACCCTTCTAGGCAGAGCCTAGGTAGGGAATAACCAGAACCACAACCACAAACACAACCACACCCACAACAACAACAGCAGCAGCAACAACAACAGCAGCAGCAACAACAACAGCAGCAGCAATCCTGTGATTCATCCATGTAACAGGCGCACTGTCATTACCACTGGACTCAAATAGCATTCCTCTTTCCCTTCGCACTCGTGCTCATGTTGCTGGAAGGACTGCAAGACGCCAATGGCGGCCATGCGGAGCGGTAGCCGCACGAACGTGCAGCGTGCGATCTGCAATTCCCCCGAAGCTCAAACCCCCCTCAAACGAGAGAGCCAAAACCTCCGAGCCGCAGCGAGCTCCGAGAATCGAGGGAGGAGGCCAGGCACTCTGACCCGCCTGAGCCCCTGCCCCATCCCCAGCCTATTGTCCCCCCCCCCCTCCTTCTCCCTTTTTATTGCAACCTCCCTCCTAAAAGTGTCCCCTGCCTTTCCCCTCGTCCGCCCCTCCCCTCCCCTCCCCCCATCCCCCTCCCCTCCCCCGTCTCCTCGGCGCTGATCACGCCACATTCGAGGGGACGGAAGGGTGAGGTGAGGCCAGAGGTGGGGTCTATACAGACCCTAGCAGCAGGGAGCTGTCGGTCTGGAGCTGGGCTCACTACCCAACACTCCCATAGGGCTAAACTCCCTCTCTACGTACCCGATATCTGTAGGAGGGGTCAAACGCCGATCCAATAATTCCGCGCGGACCTCAAAGAAAATATGTTGTATTGGACACCCGAAATGGGTACGGACCACAAAGAGGTACGATGCCCAACAACAGATGCTGTCCAAAACCGACAGCGGCCAATATTGGGCAGGCGGCCTTTTGTCTCAAATGGGCAAGGCCCGCGGCGGTACCGACAGTAAATCCTGTCCAAAACGAAGAGGAGAAATGCTCTCGGTCTCTGTGCCCCTTCTCTCCGTACCCGTTTCCACCCTACTGAGTTGTTCTTAGAGGCTTCCTTCATGGGGCCGTAGCAGATGGGGCCCTGGGATCGCGCCACATCGCCGAGACATCGGCGATGCATCATCGATGCATCGGCGATGCATCCGCGATGCACTGTCCGCGATGCACTGGCGACGTCGGCAGTGCATCGGCGACGTCGGCATGGAGAAAGGTGGGCCCCACATCGAGCCGCATCGCCGATTCATCGGCGGTGCGCCGCGATCCTCCGACCCCATCTGGGGGGCCTCGAGTTCTTCGAATCTGGCCACCGCCCGGCCTCTTCCACTCCAGCCTCTCCAGGTGCTCCGCGTGCCGGGCGTACATGCGGTCGGTGTCCGCCGGCCCTCCGCCGCGCACCTCCACCGCCTGCTGGGCCAGCTGCCGGTCTGCCTCGGCGGCGGGGCACGCCGCGCAGCGGCTCGCAGCACCGCCGGAGAAGAGGAGAATGTGCAGCGCCCACGGCGTGCACACTGCGCGCCGCTCACGACCCAGGACCCCCCCCCCCCTGCCTCCCAGGACTCGCTTTCCCTGCCCTCCCTCGCGGCGGGCCGCCCGACCTGGGACGCCCATCCGCCCCCGGGGCGTTGAGTGTGGCCCTGGCCGGTCGCCTTCCGGGTCTTCGCCCCCGGTCCTCGTCCGCGGCGTACCTTCTCCTGTGCAAGCTCTTCGGCACCGGCTGCACCCTGGGCTCCACCTGCTCTGGCCGCCGGAGGCCCCGCCTTCCTGTGCCCTGTCTCCTTAATTAAAGCTGCGCGTAGCCCGCTTAGCTTTTAGCGGAAGAGGCTCGCTCTCGCCTGGCCGATCGGGGTCCGATCGCCCGCCAGCCGCTTGGCGGCGCATGCGGGGGGGGTGGCGCGGAGTGGGGGCAGCCTTGGCGAGAAGGCCGGGGGGGCGATACACGGGAGGAGGGGGGGAGGAAGGCTGCACTTCTCGGGCCCTACAGGCCCCCCCTTCTGGGCCCCGAAGGGCCCCCTGGGCGCCGCTAACTGGGGGGGCGACAGAGAGGGGGGAGACAGGCGCGCTTCTCAGGCCCTGAACGCCCCCTTCTGGGCCCGAAAGGGCCCCTTCCGGGGCCCCAGAGAGCCCCCTGGGCGCCGCTTAATGAGGTGACGACAGATGGGGGGGAGAAGAATGCATGCGCTTCTCGGGCCCCAAACGCCCCCTTACAGGCCCGAAAAGGCGCCTTCAGGGGCCCAAAAGGGCCCCTTTTTTCTGCAGCCCTCGCTGACCCCCCACTATCGCCCCCCCACTACGCTAGGCCCAAATACACCCCCATCCCCCTACCCCGGGAGCAGGAGGATGTACACGTTTGGGGCCTTGCAGTTGCAAGTATAAACGCGAACGTAGACGTTACTCATCGTAGGCGTCGTCGCCATCACCATCGTCGTTATCTACGCCGGCCCGACGCGAAGAGCGTGTCACACAATCCCAGATTGATTGGCTGACACGGGAGCGAGAATTGTCGCAGGAATCTGGATAAGTGTAAAGGTAAACGTTGACGGTAATGTGAATGAGTGTATTGTTATATGCGGACTAGTTGGCGATACTTGAAGTATCAAAGATTCCTTGGGCAAGAACTCGTTTCGTAACGGGTCAAGAATGCCCCCAATATCCAAAAAACAATAAATTAAGGACTCTCATGACAAGATAACCGTGTAAAGGACCGTTGGGCGTACATCCGTTCAGTAAAGGCTCTCGTTAGTAATGATGAGTATGGTCGTACTGTTCCACATTGTACGCCGTGCATCCATCAAAAAAAAAAACTAATTATAAAAATGGTTCCTCTCGTACGTGTCACACGGTAATGGTCACGCAGTCAGAACTCAGTATGTGTAGCTGCGTAGCAACACATTCTCACCGTATGATGTTTTCCGAGTCCCGATAACAAAGCATGTCCTCACTGAGTGAACGCTCCGTTCTCAATGTGCCATTTCCAGAGGAATCCTTACTGACTGGTTCCTCAAGTAAGGGCCTTTATTACATTCAAAAACCTTCGGTGAGTCCTTACGAACATATTCCTTACCGAATGGTCCCTCACGTGAAGGAGTCCTTACAACTTATGTATGCCTGGATGAGGCCTTACCGAATAATCATGTTTCAAGGAGTCCTTCTCAAAGGACAAATCATCGACTTTATCGCTGTTTAGTGGCTCCCTGTTAGTACTAAAGCTGGCCCCTCAGTAATCGAGACATTGTTAACACAATCGCTGCTGAATTGTACTGTCTGTGTTTCACGTACTGGCTAGCGCTTACCATGTAGATCTGTGTGTATATATTATCTAACCCGCCTGCCCTGGGGCTGCGGGGTGGTGCTGCGGTGTGCCCCCCCTTCCCCCGATGGGCGTGGGGGTCGGCATCGCGCCACAAAAAGGATGAGAAAGAACAGGAAAATGAAGACAGGAAGTGGAAAGCGCGTTCCACTACTCGCAAATCAACTACTCGCAAATTGCTGGGATCCGTCGCGGGGGATTTACGATACATTACGTAGAGGAAGACCTGTATATTTCGGACGTTTGCGAGTAGGCACTTTGCGAGTAGTGGAACGCGCTCGGCGACGAAGAGAAGAGAGAGCCCTCCTATATACTGTATGTGATGACCCTTGTTGTCCAGAATTATCACGAGGCCCTGCGAGATGCCACTTCTGGAGGCGGAGCAGCTGCGAACTTCCAGCGAAGGAGTTCTCGGCTTCCAGGAGAGGTCCCGCGGTCGTCATAGTCGTAGTGGTCGTCGTCGTATTCCTGGTGATCGTCGTCGTCGTGGCCTACCCCCTGCCTCCCTCTCTTCGAGCTGGAGTAGGACAGAGGGTCGTCGTCATCGTCGCCAGAGCCGTGGGACCCATCCTATTCGGGAGCGGCCAAGAGGGGGGTGTCCAAGAGGGGGGGGTGCAAATCATGACCGGCGGCATGTGCGCGGCCCAGCGGGGGGGCCAGGGCCGTGATGAAATAAGAAGAGGCGCCATGAAATCTGGGGAAATATCATGACCCCCGCCATGATATCCCCCCCCCCCTAGTCATCACCCCCCTCTTTTCCGCCCCCGACCCATCTGGGGAAGGGAGGAGGTTGGGCCTGGAGCCCGGGAACGCATGTCTGATGTCTGCATTATCGGCCATTTCATCATGCATGGCCTTCAAATCGTTGTAAGATGGCTCAGAAGCTGCATTCTCGGTGGCCCTGGGGGTATCCTGCCTGTAATCCGAAGCATCTCGGCCTGCAGAATCTCCGCCACCACCATTCCCATCATAGATGAAGTAGCCCCCGAGTCCATGGTGCCCTTGCAGGTCCCCGAGAGCTGTGAGGCCATGAAAGCACACTGCTTGTAAACCACTAGAACGCAAAGTGTTTCTTGCCGGTAGGCCCTCCATGTGGCTTCAGGACGGCCCGAGCCAGGACGGACGGCCCAGAGAGAGGGCCCAGGATGGCCCCAAAAGGACCGAGGAGGACCCCAAGGCGGCCCAAAATGGCTCCTAGAGGATCCCCAAAGAGTGCCACTGGAGGCAAAAACATGATCGACCCACGAACCCGGAAAGGAATCTATAAATGTAAGACATGGCAACGTTTCGAAGACACCTGATTGGGCGACGGGCAAATGCAATGCTTAGTGTATCGATCTTGATGTACCGTGCCGAGGGCTGTGCGGTGCTGCGCCGCGCTGAACTGCGATGTGCCATGCCACGATTGTGCTCTATAGCGTTGTGGATCGAGTCCTCCTTTGCATCCGAGTCCTGACCGAACTGATCTGGATCTTAAGCTCGAGCTGCCTAAGCACATAACTAGTAGCTGCCCAAGAGCTGATTGACAGGGGAACCTGCCAGGAGGACGCGCCGCAGAACGTCCCAAGGGACGCGCCAGGCGACGTGCCAGGGGACGTGCCATGGGGACGCACCGCGGGACGTGCCAAGGGGACGCGCTACGGAACGTGCCAATGGACGTGCCACGGGACGTGCCAAGGGACGCACCAAGCGAGGTGCCAGGGGACGTGCCACGGGGACGCACCGTGGGACGTGCCAAGGGGACGCGCCACGGAACGTGCCAATGGACGTGCCACGGGACGTGCCAGGGGACGCGCCGCGCGACGTGCCAGGGGAACTCGCCACAGGACGCGCCACGGAACGTGCCAAGTTGCAAAGCTGAGTTTATCGATCTTGATTTGCCGTGCCGAGGGCTGTGCTGTGCTGCGCCGTGCTGAACTGCGATGTGCCACGTGACGATTGTGCTCTATAGCGTTGTGGATCGAGTCCTCCTTTGCATCCGAGTCCTGACCGAACTGATCTGGATCTTAAGCTCGAGCTGCCTGAGCACATAGTAGCTGCCCAAGAGCTAATTCACGGGGGGGCATGCTAGGAAGACGCGCCGCGGAACGTTCCAAGGGACGCGCCAGGCGAGGTGCCAAGGAACGTGCCATGGGGACGCACCGCGGGACGTGCCAAGAGGACGCGCTACGGAACGTGCCAATGGACGTGCCACGGGACGTGCCAAGGGACGCGCCGCGCGACGTGCCAGGGGGACTCGCCACAGGACGCGCCACGGAACGTGCCAAAGAACGTGCCAGGTTGCAATGCTGAGTGAGTGTATCGATCTTGATGTACCGTGCCGAGGGCTGTGCTGTGCTGCGCCGTGCTGAACTGCGATGTGCCATGCCGCGATTGTGCTCTGTAGCGTTGTGGATCGAGTCCTCCTTTGCATCCGAGTCCTGACCGAACTGATCTGGATCTTAAGCTCGAGCTGCCTGAGTACATAGTCCACGTAGTAGCTGCCCAGAGCTAATTGACAAGGAAACATGCCAGGAAGACGCGCCGCGGAACGTTCCAAGGGACGCGCCAGGCGACGTGCCAGGGGACGTGCCACGGGGACGCACCGCGGGACGTGCCAAGGGGACGCGCTACAGAACGTGCTGGGGATAAGCGTCGTGTTGGTGGCCTGGACACGTAAAAACACGGTGCCAGCTCGGGACAACCATGAAAGATATCCCCAGGGTGGCCTGGACACGTACAAACACGCGGTTCCAGCTCGGGACAATCATGTTAGAGATCTCCCTGGGTGGCCTGAGCATGAAATTACACTACACCCGCGCTCCCAGGGCCACGATCCCTCGTAAATTACGCTACGTCAGCGCTCCCAGGGCCACGATCCCTCGTAAGGGCTCCTGGGCCCTCCTGGGTCTTCCTTGGACCTCTTGGGCCCTCCTGGGCTCTCCTGGAGCCTCCTGGAGCTTCTCCTGGGCCCTCCTTGGGCCCCCTGGTGCCTCTTGGAGCCTCCTGGGTCCTCCTGGGCCCTCCTGGGCTCTCCTGGGCCCTCCTGGGCTCTCCTGGGCTCTCCTGGAGCCTCCTGGGCCCTCCTGGGCGAAGTCAAGGTCCAAAAACACATGGGACTTGCCACATCTCTGAAATTCGG